AAAGACATTCATAACCAGCAGCAGTGGTATTCCCAACATGCCTATAATCCCAACAATTTGGGGGGCTGAGGCAGGAGGACTGCAAGTTCAAAGCCAGCTTCAGCTACTTAGTGAGGCCCTGGTCAACATAGTGGGACCCTGTTTCTAAATTAAACATAAAAAGGTGGTAAAGTACCCATGGATTCAATCCCAGTACAAAACAAAAAGGAAAGGATTCACTTAAACTTAAAAACATTTATTCAATTTGAGGCTAATGCTTTTGTAAATGATGGATTCTTGTCTGTTCAAGCTGGCCATAACTTAGACAATATTGAAACTGGAGTTTTGAGATAAAAGTAGATTCCCTACTTCTGTGGAAACTGGGTTTTTGTCTCACAAATTTTGTACCATTTGTCCACTTTATGCTTTGAATGTAGCCTTTCCTGCTCTGCCACAGTGACTTGGTTTTAAAAGAACATGTTTCTCTTCCTCTCTCTGGCTCTTCCCTTATCTCTCCCACTCCCTAATCTCAGGGAAAACAGGTTCTTTCTTCCGCAACCCAAACCGAGTTATCTGTCCTTGAGTACACACCCAGCAAGGGAACCAAGTAATTGCTGTTGAGCATCCAGAGACCTCAGGAATGACTACCTCCTAAATTAACAAATGAATTACAACTCCAAGAAAGGGGGGCGGGGGAATGTGGTATTTGAATCACCTCTTTAACCTCCCTGTTCCTGTGGGTGAACAAAATCACAGCCTCTGAGATAGGAATCCCCTGTGTTTCTCCTTTGCTAACAAAGCAATAAACCTTTTTCCTTTTTCTCAAAACCGTGTCCTAGTTATTGTATTGGCATTGGGGACAAGGACTGAGCTTTTGGTAACAAATTGAAGAATAAAATCCATGGACAATGCCAGAAGGGAAGAGTAAATGGAGCAGAACTTATATAAGTGGAAAGAGAAAGTGAGGGGAACTGTTAGCAAGTTTTTCCTCTTAAATGTACCAGTCTAGGGACCTAGATAGCTTCTGGGAGGGGCATTGATCAAAATCTTTATGTTAAAAAGATATTGAAAAAGTATCAATGCTTTGAGTTTTTGCCTTTGAGTTTTAACCCTCCCTTCCTGTAACTCCTGAAGGGAAATCGAGGAATGAAAGACAGGTAAGCGAGAAATGAAAGCCAGAGACCAGGCAGAGATACTCGTCAGAGCTGACAGATAAAGGCCATCTCTCTATAGGAGAGAAGTAAAACAGGCTTGCGTTCCGGGACTCTCAGGAATCAGAGCTGGGCGGGTCCTAATGGTGGTTAGGGGTTGGGTTGGTATGAGGGAGTGGTGAGTCTTTCTCAGAAAGGCCCTCGGGAGGAAAGCAAAACTTTTTCCTTAAAATGCCTGCTATCACTCAAGATGCTAAATAAGGACCTTATAACTCCCACTGGGATTCATCTCCACATTCCATTCTCCCCACTGCTCAGGGACAAAGGAGTGGGCTGGAAGGTCTTCCACAGCTTAGCTAGGTGGAGTGAGTGGTCTTTACATTTGAAAAAGGCCTTGAAGGGCCCATCTGCATTTCTACTGGGTTGGTCTGAACAAGACCTGAACTGGGGCCCATTACCCAGATTGACTGACCATTATCTATTCTTATTCAATGTCAGTGTGATCTTCTGAGATTATAAATATTTGAATCTCAGTAACACATCCTGGAAGGCCCTGGGTCTGATCTTCAGAAATAATCCCAAACCCTCTAAAGGTAGAAGGGTGATAGAAGCCAAGAAACAGAGTTCCAAATTTCAGATGTTCCCCCTAAACCCAGCATCAGAGGAATTTCACAACTCACAGGTAATAGAACAGAGCTGGAGCTTGAGGAATTCTAGTTTCTGGTCTGGTGCTTGTGACTGAGTAGGTGCTGGGAGTCCGTCCCCTCCCTGAAAGAACTTTTAATTTGAAAGAAAAGACTACAGAGGAAATACGCTTGCTCACCAAACTGTTCCAAAGTTAAAGTCTAAGACAAATGTCCAGCATCCTGCCCAATCACTGTGAAGTCCGTCATTACCAGCAGCCCTAGTTTATAGTGTTGCC